AAGAAAAATTCATACAAATTCAAGAAGCTTATAATGTAAATAATCAATCAATCAATAAAACAAAATATTCTATAAAAATAATCATATTATTTATTTATTTTAGGTGTTGAGTGATGAAGAGAAAAGATCACGGTACAATAAATGGGAAACAACAGGTAAATAAATAAATTAATTAATTCATTATTGATTTTCTATATATATTAATAACAATGATCAATAACGGTGCAGATGAATTTGCAGGTGAAGCAAATTATGGTGGATTTACTGGATTCAATGAAGATTTTATAAATAATGTATTTAAAAATTTTGCCGGTTCAAGAGTTCAAACAGAATTTAATCAACCTTATGCAATGGGATCCGATGTCGAAGTAACTTTTATGAAGTTTCATAAATATTATTTATTATAATCTTCATATTTAAAGTAATAATAATTTATTATCTTTGTTATTATTAGTTTTCTTTAACTATATCCTTTATAGATTCGGTTAAAGGTGCTAAGAAGACTGTGACGGTAGAAACAGTGGCAAACTGTAAATCGTGTAATGGAATTGGTACCAGAACAGGCAAAGAACCAGATAATTGCAAAGTGTGTAATGGATCAGGTGTACAATACGTTTCCTTAACAACAGGATTTCATATGCAAACTATATGTCGTGCCTGTAATGGTAAAGGAACCAAAATAACACCTTTAAATAGATGTGTAGCATGTATTGGTAAAGGTCAAGTAAAAGAGAAGAGAGCTGTAGTAGTTCAAATTCCCGCAGGTAAATTAATTATGATTGAATGGGGATATAAATATAAATATTTCTATTCAATCTTCATTATTTTCATTATATGTGTGTATATATATATATATATATATTTGCAGGCATTGAGAGTGGCACAGTAATTAGAATGATTAGACAAGGGGATGTACCATCTGGTGGGATAGGAATCCCCGGAGATTTATATATAAGATTAAATGTCACGCCACATAGTATATTTAAAAGAGAAGGTGAAAAAAATATTATTATGAATAAGGAAATACCATTTCATCTAGCAATTTTAGGTGGTGATGTTCAAGTACCCACGATTGATGGCGATGATGTTGAATTAAAAGTTCCTGAAGGTTCACAACCTGATCAACGTATTGTACTAAACAAACGTGGTATAAAAATTGGTAACTCTCAAGGTGATCAATACGTTATATTAAAACCTAGATTACCAAAGTAAGTATTATTATCAGTAGTATTAATAATAATAATGGCTATGTGATAAAAAGATATACCGATTTGTTTATGTATATGCCTTATTTCTTAATTTAATTTAATTTAGACATTTAACATCACAACAAAAAGAATTGATTGAAAAATATGAAGAAATCAGTGAACGAAGCACAAAGAAGAAATCTGGTAATTTTTTAAAAAATCTATTTAATATATTCAAAGATAAAAAATAATAAAAGTGATAGTAGTGATATTGATAGATAGCAATAGCGATCATGTTAATAGGATATATTATATTATTTATATTATTATTATTATTTAATTGTAGGATAAATTTCATCCAAAAAAAAAAAAAAAAAATCAGAGATCAGAGAAATTAAATAGATCAATATAAAAAATAGAACTTTTAATAGTTTTTGAGAGTCTTTAGTATTTATAAATAATTTAAATATATTAACTAATAATTAATAATGAAAAATTTGATTTTCCAATACATAATCAATTGTTGGTCTATTATCAAACATGAAATCAAGCATTTTAATAATCAAGATATTTATAATGTCATTATCTATTTCATTGGCAATTTTCTCTTTAATTGTGTTCAACTCAACAAATAAAAGAATATTTGTTGTTGTTGTGTAAAATAAATGTTTTGTAACAAGATAGTAGAGTAAACAACCTAATGAATAAATATCAATAGCATAATGTGATATCGAACCAGAATTTAAATTTAACACTAATTCAGGTGCACTAAATCCTAAAGCAAATGGTAAATTATTATTGTTATTATTATTATGTTGATGTTGATGTTGATGATTGTTATTGGCTGTTGCAGATGATGATTTTGTAGTTAATAATGAAGAGATTGTTGGAATGTCTATGATGAGAGATCCAACTGTACAAGAATATTTAAAATCTGACAGCTTAATCTTCCAGGGTTTATTATTATCCTTGCAAATAATATTTGAAGGATTTAGATTCATGTGCTGAAAATAAATAAATTAATTATTAGATGAATTAATTAATTGAATAATTATAATAATAATTGGAGGAATGTACTTACAACAATTTCATTATTATGCAAGAATTGAACACCTTTACAAATATTCAAGAACAATTCTCTGATAAGTTCTAAAGAATTAAATTTGTCGAGGCTAAGATCTAAACTTTTGCCAAAGTATTCCATAACAATAATATGTTCCTTACTAATACTACTACTATCATCATTATCATTGTTAGTTGTTAACGTGTCTTGAAATTTTAGAATATATCTAAAGGAACTTTTTAGTTGTTTAATTATTTTCATTTCATTTTCCCAAAGAAACTCATTTGAAAATATTTTAATTATAACAATAACATCATTTCTAATATTTTTTCCAGTATAAATCTTATATCCCTCTTTGTCATTGTTGTTGTTGTTGTAATTATTTAGTAATAGATTTTGTATAACATAATTATCTGAAAATATCCTTTGATTATTATCATCATCGTTATTATTAAAAACAAAATTATTTTTACCATTAATGTTTTGTGTATTCGAAATCTTTTGTTGAATTTGCAGTGACGTTGGTCTACTATCAAATGATATCAATGATTGTATTTCCGGTGAATTGTCAATGGGATTCTTATCAGAGGAAAAGGAGTAGGAAGAGTAGGATGAAGAAGAAAAAGAAAAAGCTGTTGACTTTCTTGAAGGCATTAGCCGAGAAATTTTATTATTAGCATTGGTATTTGATTGTAGGAAAGATGATGTTGTTGAAGCTTTAGAATGTTTGTCAGATGATGTTTTGAATTGATTGTTATTTTTTTTCGCTAATGGTGGAGATATTGGGATTGTACCAGATGGTAATAACTGAGTTAATTTGATGATTTTGTGAAAAGATAACCTAAATCCTATTTTAGAAGATATTCCTTTGTTATCATGAATGGAAACTGGTCCAACTGATATATTGATTATTTTTAAAAGTTAATAAGTATACATTAATTGAGTAAAGAAGTAAAAAAGTATGGATTTTGTAGAAACTTTAGAAATATTTACTTTTTGTGGATCCTGTTAGTAACAAATCATCCCAAAATTTTTTCTCAAGTTCGCTGGAATAAGAATTAATCTTTAAATTAAAATATGGAAATCTATGACTTGACGATAGATGCTGTTTTATTATTAAAGTATTAGAGCTGCGTTTTATTAGAAATGAAATTGGATATTTCCATCCAGTTTGTTTTACTGTTTTATAATGATAATTGGTTGAATGAATTTCATCGCCCAATTTTATCTCTAAATGACCAGGAACTCTGCTCAAATCTTCACTGTGAATTATGATTATGGTTATGGTTACGATGATGAAGATGATTATTATGATTAATATATCTTTCTTTATATCAAATAAATATATTATATATGTAATACGTACAGACTTATTTCTTTTATTAGCATCATACCAATCATATCTTTTTTAAGTTTTATATTATTTAATATTTCTGATGAAGCTTTTGGATTTTCCTGATTAAGATGAGGAAAAAAAAGATTAGAAGATTAGTTTTTTCTAAGAAAAGATAATAAATAAAAAATAAAAACAAACTTACATTTAATATATAGTAAATTTCAAAAACAATTTCGAAATTACGATCTTTTGATCTCAATTTTACTATATATGATAAAATAAAAGCCATAAATATTGTATATTTAATTCTTGAAGCTAAAACAAAGACAAATCTAGCAATTATACCTTTATTTTCATGAGGATCAAGTTTAATTAGATTTATTTTTATTTCAGTCAAGATTCCATCTCTTCCTTTAACTCTATTATCCCAACATCTAACAATTAATTCTGTGTCTTTAGGAATGTTTTTTGGTTTAGATAATTTTAGTAAAATATTCTCACTCCAATAAGCGGCTTTATCTGAATTTAATAGACTGATTGATGAATAATTGGTCGATCAATCGATTGATCAATTGATTGTAAATTTAAATATAGCAGAATAAAAAATCGAAAGGTTTACATTTTGAATGGAGGAGTGTAATTATTTTCATTATTGTATTCAAATTCCAATTGCAAATTAAGTACTTCATTGATATTGAATGCACTTTTAAATATTTCACTGATTTTTGTATGATTTTTTTCTTGTTTATGATCATGATTATAATTTTTTAATATACTTTTTGAATTTAGATTATCGTTTTTTAAGGGCAATTTAATTTAATAAATGAATTAAGCAAAATAAAATAAAAACAAATAAAAAATAAAAAGACACTTGAATTACCATCCAATTTTCTTTATTAAAATAAATCCAACATATTTATTAATATTAATGCTCTTGATGTTATTCATCGATGGATCCATTTTAATTTTATGGAAAAAATAAAGAATTAAACTTTATATTTTTTTTTTTTTCCTAAAGAATTAAACTACATTTTTTTTTTTCTAAATAAACTAATCAAATGAGGAAACAATCATTTTATTATTTGGTATATATAAGCACATGACTTATTACCATATCTAGTATAGTTGTACCTCCCATATAGGAACAATATCAAAAACCTTCCTTCTATGTTTGTAACCAATCACTATTAATTAAAACTTCTAGAAAAATATTTTCATCCCCCCTATAATAATAAGAGCTTTTATCAAAAGACTACTTCTTTTTTTTAGAAAATGATACAGTCAGGCTTGAGTATAGTCATCCTGTTATTATTCAATTTTTTTCTAGAAAATCCTGTTGAGATACAATTCAAATTACAAATACATTGATTCTTGCAATTAATCCATCAACAATATCAACAATAAATATAGTAGTGGTGTACCTATAACGCATCAGAACTGTGCGAAGCATCTAATATTAGAAAAAACATGTAAAAATTTGCTAAAAGGAATATTTAGTGTTACCTTTTTTGAGAGATATTCTCATTTCACAAAAAATTACTTCTATAAAAAGACCGGGAAAACTCTATTGTATGTGACCGCCAAATTAAATAACAAATCATATTAATGCGAATCGATTTTCCGAACACATTTTAAAATTATTAATAATGCGAATCAAAATAGCCGAGGACATGAAATTATCTTTATTGATTAAAAATATTTAAAAGAAAGTTTTGTGTACTTGATTGACTAAAATGATTATAAATTAAAAATGTTTCATCATCTACTGCAATCAAACAAGGATTAATA